CACACACGTGCGTGCGATCACGGGCAGAGTGTGACCTTGACACCACCGGCGGCTACAATGGACGACCGCCTCCGTGTGGCTCGCCGTGCCACCTGCGACTCGAGCGACGACCTTGACACGTCGCATCAAATACTGCACTCGTTTTAGACTGAGTCGACCTAGGGGAGGTTCAGATAATCGTCACCGGTATTGTTGGCCGTGAGCGAGAATCGAACTCGGGTCGCCGGGTTTGTAGAGCAGCGCGCTAACCGCTGCGCCACCGCTCTCCACAAAATATAAAGATCCCCCGTATAGCATTCACAGACTGTAGGGGCAAGTGCTGTTAGCGAGCACCTATGAAGGCCGGCACAGTACACGAGGGGGTGGGTGGCCAGCACCACGCCCGACCGCCTTTGTCTCCCCAGTGGCGATGCCTACACACCGCACCAGGTACTCATTTGAGGCTGAATCGACCTAGGGGAGGCCCAGGACCGGTTCAGATAATCGTCACTGATGTTGGCCGTGAGCGGGAATCGAACTCAAGTTGCCAGGTTCGTAGCGCATTGCGATAACCCCCCCCCCCCCCCCCCACATGTATATACAGTACACACATACACCCATGCGCACATGTACACGCACAAACATGCGCACCCGCTGGTACACCTTCTGTGCACATTTCATGGGCAATAAAACCCCTTCCCTGATCCTGATCATTGCGCGATGTTAATGTCACTCCGAGTGTGCAGCAGCCCCTTCTTGCTCTTGCCACGAGTAGTCACGAAGGTTCTTCATTAGCCATTCCGCGCACGCATTAATTATTTGTGCGAATTAAGACTCCAAATCCCCCACCCCGCGCCCCCCACCCCACAGCCTCCCCCATGCCCCTCCCCTACCCCCACACGTCGTCTTTCTGCGCCCCCCCCCCCACGCCCTCCGCGACCCCCAAAGAGATGACATCATGGGGGTGACGTCAACTCGGCTGCATCTAAAATTTAAATCACTCTCGAGTCTCTGACGGCGGGAGTGGAGTTGTGGGGGCAGGGGTGGAGAGGTCGCCGTAGCCAAAGGTGATGATGGTGTTGATGATGGTGATGATGATGATCGTGGTGATGATGATGGTGGTGGTGGTGATGGTGGTGGTGGTGGTGATGATGATGATGATCGTGGTGATGATGGTGGTGGTGATGATGGTGATGACAGTTGTGATAATGATGATGATGGTGATGACGGTGGTAATGATGGTGCTGATGATGATGGTGGTGATGTTGGTGGTGATGGCGGTGGTGATTATGGTGGTGGAGGTTTTCGCTGTTGTGCTTTTGTTTGAAAAAGCCAGCAGCTGTAAGGAGCTCAGCTTGACCATCACACCTCGAGTCGATGAGAGACATCGCGTAGAGCCGCGTTGGCTTCCCACGTTGTCGAACGAATGCATCGTGAGGTCGCACTCACGACACACACACAAAGTGCTTGCCACACATGAACCACACTAGCTTGCTGATCTCGTCAAGAAGCATAAACCATCATCACGCGAACTCCGCTCATGCTCGCAGCAGCAGCAGCGGCTTTTGGCTCAGCCATCGAACAAAGGCGGTGGTCACCGCATCGCGCGGCGCTTTCAGATGCGCTTCTGCGGCCGTCTGGAACGCTCTTTCTTCCGGTATTAGGAAGATACTGGAGCTATGCAATTTTTTTATAATCTATATTGAAAACAAATTTCTTTAGAAATGCTTCGTGTGTTTAGTTTGTTGTCCTTCCCCCGCACCTCCGATTAGCGCGGTTGGCTACGTACGGTGCGAGAGAAGTTCAACACACGTACATACATACCGCTCGATAATCTACTACGTGTGGCTAATTATTATCGGACATGTTGCATCTGTCATTGTAATCGATGTTCGTTACGTATCCGGGGAGGAGGCGTCGTCCTGCATCGGGATACCCCCACAAATTCCTAAACTTGTGCGCGCGCCTCTCACGTCGCTTTAGATAATTGACAAGACTGGCGATTGACAAGATTCGTCATTCTCACAGCTGTGCGTTCATCCGGCTTGAGCATCTCCGGAGTGTGCCAACGCTACGTCGAACTTCTGTGCCAATAGAGCAACGCTTTTCTCGATGCGGAATTCCTCTTCCTCTCCCTCCCCTCCATCTCTTTCTCTCTCTCTCGCTGTGACCCCGTAAATACATAGAGACCTTTGAGTGAAGGCATCGCATCGGTTAATTAGTAATCTAATAAGAGAGGGGAGAGAAAGGAGGGGTGGTGGTGGGAGGGAGTAGATGGGAGCTGGAGGGGTGAGAGGGGAGACGAGAGAAAAAAGGGGGAGAGATGGGAGAGAGGGAGAGAGATGTTAACTAGAGTGATGAGAAAGGAGAGATCAGAGAGAGAGAGAGATGGAAGCTGGAGGGGCGATAAGGGAGAGATGAGAGGGAGAGAGACGCGGGTTAGAGAGATGGGAGAGAGGGATAGAGATGTTAACTAGAGTAATGAGAAAGGAGAGATCAGAGAGAGAGAGAGATGGAAGCTGCAGGGGCGATAAGGGTGAGATGAGAGGGAGAGAGAGCGGGTTAGAGAGAGGGAGAGAGGGGAATAGGTGGGAGCTGGAGGGTTGAGAAGAGAGAGATGACAGGGAGAGAGAGACGCGGGTAAGAGGGATGGGAGAGAGGGAGAGAGATGTTAACTAGAGTGATGAGAAGAGAGAGATGACAGGGAGAGAGAGGTGGGGGGAGAGCGGGTTCAAAAGAGGGAGTGTGGGGAGAGATGGGAGCTGGATCCGTGAGAATGGAGAGAGAGAGAGGGGGGACAGAGAATGGAGAGAGATGGGAGCTGGATCCGTGAGAATGGAGAGAGAGAGAGGGGGGACAGAGAATGGAGAGAGATGGGAGCTCGAGGGCTGAGAATGGGGAGATGGGGTTAGAGAGAGGGTGAGAGAGAGACAGAGGATGGAGAGAGGCCCCCAGGCTCGCTGTGAATGTCTCCTTGTTAGTGGCGTTTCCTGTAAGCGAGGAGGAAGAAGACACGACACGGGGACTGTCACGGCAGAGCGAGCGCCAGCCGTGGGGACGAGGCCGCCCTGGGGTTAGGGGTTGACTCATGGTTATGACGAGAGTGAGGACTCGTGCAGCTCGTTAGGAGTTAGGGGTCAGGGTCAGCTGGACGGCTAGAACTCGTGCCTGGTTAATGAGTTGGCTTTGGTCAGGATTAGGGTCAGAGAGACGCGGCCACTATTTGGGGATATTTGGCACAAGACAGAGAGGAAAGTGGAAACAAATGACGAGATCTGCAGTGGACACCTACGGGGCTATCTGCCCATGGATCGTGGTGATGGTGATGATGAGAAGGCGCGTGTGTACACACACACACACAGTGCGCGTGTACACACACACAGCGCGCGTGTACACACACACACAGCGCGCGTGTACACACACACACAGCGCGCGTGTACACACACACAGCGCGCGTGTACACACACACACAGCGCGCGTGTACACACACACAGCGCGCGTGTACACACACACACAGCGCGCGTGTACACACACACAGCGCGCGTGTACACACACACAGCGCGCGTGTACACACACACAGCGCGCGTGTACACACACACAGCGCGCGTGTACACACACACAGCGCGCGTGTACACACACACAGCGCGCGTGTACACACACACAGCGCGCGTGTACACACACACAGCGCGCGTGTACACACACACAGCGCGCGTGTACACACACACAGCGCGCGTGTACACACACACAGCGCGCGTGTACACACACAATGCTCGTGTCACGCTGCGTCTTTGCAGCAGCAGCAGCAGCTGCGTGCCGTAAAACAAATCGACGGTTGTGGCCAAGCAGTCAAAGGAAAAAAAAAAACCTCGCCTCGGATGAGACATCTATATTTAATCGTCAAAACAGCCCCGACGCGTCCCGCTCTGAATTATATCGATCTTATTTTATTTACGTGCGGACTAATGGTGCGGTGTGGTAGAGGCGAGAGAGAGAAGGGTGGGGAGGGGGGGGGTTATGGAGTGCCGGGCGCGCGTGGAGAGAAGAGGCTGCGGCTGCTGCTGGTTTATAAATCATCCAGCCTCCTCGTTCCACTGGGACCGGCGCCAATCGACAGTAAAACAAAGCTGGACAAAGGCCTCTACTTGCCCATTCTAACACAGAGAGAGCCCGGGGGGGGGGGGGGGGTAGCCCTTGCCTCGAGACATCGGTCAGGTCACCAGCATTGGTTCGAGCGAGCCTGCTGCTGCTGATGATGATGAGACATCGAATGCCGAAACCGATCCACAGTTTTGCTTGGGATTGAAGCGATGCTGCTGATGAGATTCACTTTCAGAGAGGCCGTGCCGCTGACGGGATGTGTAAGGCAACACCAAACCTACGCTTATTAGTTTTTTTTTTGTGCGGATACGCATAGATGACGATTGTGACAAATGTATCGATACAATTCTCAATATCGAATCTCTCATTTCGTTCCAGACACCACGGTCCACGCATCCGTGAGACACCCCAGGAACAACCGTCCAAGAAAACCAACAAACGACAATGCCTCCCCTCCTGCCCACGCCTCTTTGCACCACCACCACCGCCATCGCCAATTCCGGCAGCGACGATCTCCTGTGGGTGGCCTCGCCTCCCTGGTGCAACTCGTCGGACCTCGCGGAGCGCTCCCCGGTAGCGGGCCACTTCTCAGCGGGCACGGTCGCCTTCCTCGCCTTCCTGCACATCTTCGGCCTCGTCGCCTTCGTCGGCAACTGCCTGGTCATCTACCTGTTCGCCACGGCCGAGATCCGGCAGAAGAACATCTACTACTACTTCGTCATCAACCTGTCCGTGTCGGACATGCTCGTGGGCCTGGCGTTCCCCTTCGCGCTCGCCTCCATCTACGCGCCCGCCCTGCGCACCTACGCGCACTGCGCTCTCTCGCTCTGCGTGCTCGGCGTGCTCGTCATGGTCTCCCTCTCGCAGATGTTCGTCATCAGCCTGGACCAGTACGCCGCCGTGAGGTGCCCGCACGGCCACCGCCGCCTCGTCAACGCCTTCCGCGCCAAGGTGGCCATCGCACTTGTGTGGCTGTACTCGGCCACCGTCGGAGTGCTCCCGTTCGCCGTGTGGGCGCGAGACGACACCGCGGGGGCGCCCACCACGTGCCACGTGGGCGCCGTCTTCCCCGGCGACGCGACGCGGATGTACTTCGGGAGCACGTCCGTGGGATACACGCCGCTCTTCCTGCTCACCGGCTACTTCTGCCTGGCGCTACTCGCCTCCGTGTCGCGACGCACGGGGCAGATGCACGGCTCGGCGGGCAGCCGCTGGAACCGCGCTCGGCAGCAGCAGCAGCAGCAGCAAAGTCATCATCAGCAGGAGAAGCAGCAGCAGCAGCAGCAGCAGCAGCTCGCGTCGGCACTCACGCCGGGGGCAGGGTCCAGGCCGGCCGGCCTCTGCCGGGGGGGCAGCGCGAAGAGAAAGGGCAGCGGAGTGTCCGTGACGTCCGAGACGAGCAAGAGGGCGGCGCGTCCCGAGCGAGAGCACTCCAGCTCCTCCACCTTCGAGATGTCCTCGGCGGACACGGAGCGCACGGCTCAGAGCAGCGAGGACGCGGCGGCGGCGGCGGCGGTGGCGGCGGTGGCGGCGGCGGCGGCGAGCGGAGCCGCCTCGGCGAGCGACGCGAGGGCCGACGAGGAGGTGAAGGCGGACGCGCTGAAGCCGGGCGGCGGCGGCGGCGGCGGCCTCAGCGGCGGCGGCGCCAGCGGTTGCGGCCGTAGGGGCACGTCGGGTCGCGGGCGCACGTACCGCAGGGCGGCCGTGACGCTGAGCATCGTGGCCGCCTTCTTCCTCGTGTGCCTCACGCCGTCCCTGCTGCTCGCGCTGTACAACTCGGCGCGGGACGCGACCCGCTTCTCGGCGGGACGCATGGTCGCCTCGGTGCTGGTGTGCGTGAACTCGGCGGTGAACCCGCTCATCTACGCGCTGCGCATGAACAAGCTTCGCGAGCGTCTCTACGCGTGCTGCTTGCGCCGCGGGCAGCGTTCGCGTCGAGGCCTCGACAGCGTGGAGGACGAGAGGAGTCCATCCTCGTAGACGCGCGCGGGGCCGAACTTCTTTCGCGCCGTACGTCAGGCGACCGTTGATGGTCGGAGGCTCGCGCGCGCGCGCGGGGGTGGGGTGGGGGGGGGGGGAGGGGCAAGGACCACAAACTGAAGACAAAAAGATGAGTTGTTCAAATGTAGATGATGTTTCAAAGTGACATAGCTCCTCGGTGGCTTCCTAATATGGGGGAAGGAAGAGCGTGGCGGACCGCCGCAGAGGCGCGTCTGAGCGTCTGAGCGTCTGAAAGCGCCACGCGACGCGGTGACCGCCGTCTTCGTTCGATGTCTGAGCCAGAAGCCGCCGCCGCTGCTGCCAGGATGGGCGCAGCTCACGTGATGATGGTTTTTGCTCCATTTCGACAACAACAACAGCAGCAGCAGCAGCAGCAGCGTCTTTTTCATCGGTGGCGTCCGGGCTATGCCTTCTTTGCGCGTATTGTTAGCCGATAACCACGCTCGCATCCATCCTACGGGGGTTTGAGACACGCACACAACTTTGTCGGAGGGCGTCTCCACAATGCGAGCCACGGCCACGTGGATGTGGAAAAGCCACGAGGAGGAGGAGGAGGAGGAGGACCATCCCGCGGCGGTGTTCACTGCGCAAATCGCGGACCGTTCTCCCGCATTCAATCGGAGGTCACGCTGTCAAGGAACCATCCCGCTCATCATCATCACCACCACCACCATCACGTTCCGTGGGGCCAGATAGCCCCGTAGGTGTCCACTGCACATTTCGTCAATTGTTGTTGACACTTTCCTCTCTGTCTCGTAGTGCCAATATGCTCCATAAGTGGCCACAAGTTTTGTTGTTGTTTGGCCCCAATCTGTTTACATGGTCGTCATCAAGCCAGGCCCTCTTAGGTCTCCCTCTCTCTCCGGTTCCTTCCATTTTTTCAAACAACAACAACACCACCACGACACTTTTAAGCGCCCCGCGTAGATTTTTGTAATTTCCTAGGACCCACGTTTTTTTTTTTCTTCTCTTGGGGGCTCTTCCCAATTGCGCAATCGGCTCCTTGCATTGCAAGATACGAAGACAATGCCATGGATAGTTCTCGGAGCGAGTGGAGACTCATCACCCGCCCCCTCCGGGACTACCTTTTTTTTTCATGAAACACACACACACACACAGCGAGGTGGCGTGATGGGGAACACGACCCAGCGCCTCCTGACACCGGTCGCGTTCACCGCGCAGGAGATCAAAACCACCCGCACAGTGCTTCGGCGCTCACAGCTGGACTCGCGGCCTCAATGAAGAGAAAATCAAGTCGGTCACCCCTCGGGTTTCACCTGCGCGCAACCATTAGCGACCCGCCTCGCGACGCAATCGCCCATCAATGTTTTGAGACCCGCAGAGAAGGCGAGACGATGACAAATTGTGGGGAGGTGGTGGGTGGGGGGGGGGGAGAGTCCCATCAGAGGCGGTGATCAACACTCCGTGTTTACATCGTACCGCGTTCGACTTGTCCCGCCCCATCCGCGAGCGTGCACATTGTGGCGCGTGCGCGTTGTGACGCGTGCGCATTGTGACGCGTGCGCATTGTGACGCAACCGCATGACGTGAGGAGCGGAGAGATGGTGGTGGGGGGAAAGGGATGCCCCCGATTGTACCGTGACCTCACGTAGGAAGTCCCGGTGAGTGAGGGTAACCCCCCCCCGCCACTCCCCTCCCTCCACCCACCTCCCCCACCGCAAACAGCCCCGCCCCCGCGCCCTGGTATAACAGAGGCACGAATCGCGAGCGATGATTCTGTTTTGACAGCTCGTCACCTCACTCGACTCCTCCTCTGCGTTTAAAGGATTTGGCGCATCGGGATGATTGAGTCTCGCCTCTGCGTTCGCAAAAAAAAAAAACCCCGCAAACGTAAAGAAAATCGCAGGAGAAAAGGCGCGGTTGATGGTGCTCGCAGTCGTTCATCACGATCGTGGTTATTGTTACCGTGAGATCAGTCTCGACACGAAGTGGAGGAGGGGGGGGGGTCCCTGTAGAGGCGAAGGGAAAAGAAGCCCTGGAGTCAGACGTACAGAGAAACACACACGGAGAAAGAGACACGGAGAGAGACACGGACAGAGAGCGACAGAGAGAGAGAAAAAGAGAGAGACACGCCGAGAGAGAGAGACACACACACGGAGAAAGAGAGAGAGACACGGAGAGAGACACGGAGAGAGACAAGGACAGAGAGCGACAGAGAGAGAGAAAAAGAGAGAGACACGCCGAGAGAGAGACACACACACACGGAGAAAGAGAGAGAGACACGGAGAGAGGGACATGCAGAGACTTTTTGATTTTTAAACAACTTTTATTGCCGCCAGTAGCAAAAGCACTGGAGGCGATTTCGATATGAAACACACAAAGTCACCAGCAAACAAATGAACATAAACGTTACAAATCCACGCGCTGTGGCGCTAAAAAGACATGCAGAGAGAGATAGACGCAGAAATAGAGAGACGGAATGAGAGACAGAGAGACACCCAGAGGGAGACACCGATAGAGAGAAACACGGGGAGAGAGAGACACACACACAGGCGGGCAGAATCCCACAATCTCATTCGAACAGTGCTTCAAACTATGCACCGAACATTTTGTATCCACGAGTCACAATAAACACAAATTAAACAAATCACCATCCCGATAGATGATGATTACACATGGTGCCAGCGAGCACCTATTAGTGCCACGAAAGACAAAGATCCCCCGTATAGCCTTAAAGTACTATTGGAGCAAGTGCTGTTAGCGAGCACCTATGAAGGCCGGATCGGCACAAGAGGGGGTTCCAGGCCAACACCACGCCCGGCCGCCTTTGTCTCGCCAGTGGCGATGTTTACACACCGCACCAGGTACTCATTTGAAGCTGAGTCAACCCAAGGGAGGGCTCATGACCGATTGGAATAATCACCACTGCCTTTGGTGGTGAGGGCCAATTTCACTCGGGTGGCCGGGTTCGAAGGGCAGCGCGTACAACAACAAGCGCCATTCGCTACAAAGTGGCGGTGATGTCACCACGGCGCTTGTGCCAGGCTAGGTGCACGTTGAGGCCTAGCGCGTACACAAACAACACAGACACGCAGTGCCATAAGTCACGCAAACAAACAAAAACGTCTTAGAGAAGCTTTTATTAAACCACAAACAATATATATTTTAAAAAAATGTGTGTTGTTTGTCAACCGCTGTTGATTTTCCCACGATGTATATGGCCAATGGGCAGGCGAGTGCGTGTCGGTTTTGATGTCCGCGTGGTAGTCTACGTCTCGTCGTGTCCGCGTGCAGCGCTTGTAGTCACCGTGCTCGCGAGTGATGGGGAAAACGACGATCACTTGGAAGCTCAAGGCACCCAAAGCCCTTGACACACGCAGAGCCAGGCCCGGTCGCCCTCTGGGCTCCGAGCCATCCAGCAGTGGACAGATAAAGGCTCGTTGCTGACATGGGCCCTGGATTTCCTCCATTCTAAATACTGATTTTCGTCTCCCCCCTCCTCTTTTCAGAACATAGATGGACTAGTCCTTCTAAATAAACTGCCAAATCTCTGCGCGTGGCGCTGACGGTTTTTTTAAATAAATAAATAAACACACCGCTTAAAATAAATATATTAATGCAAACCGACACACCAGATGACGACCGTTTGTGTTATGGTCGAAACGTCGTGAGAATTTTTATTGTTTTATATATACTTTATTATTTTATTGTTTCCCTTCAACGTGACTTTACCGAAAGAGCTAAGAATATGAATTACAGCAGTCACGAAAGCTTTAAATCAAAATTTTATTCTGATCTATAAAAAGCTAGACAACTTGTTTTGGTTTGACCAGGTAAGGCCCACTGAGCTATGTAGCTGTTTTTCAGGAAAGACCTGGCCCCAAAAGATAGCTCAACCAAGTTGCCTATCACCACGTGGAGATTTAAAGCAGTAGCCAGAGACTCTAAATGCGCGATGTGGATTAAAACAAAAACCGGAGGACCCGGAGAAAAAATCCACGCGATCACGGGAAAGAGAGAGACACGCAAACTCCAAACACACAGCAAGCGTCAAGGGTTGGGATCGAACCCACGACCTCCTGTATACCAGGCGAGGTAGTTAACATCTCCTAGTCACCGTGACCTGATACGTGGGTCCCAGTGCAGTTTCACCGCCTGCACGCTCAGTAACCTACACCACTCGCAATTACCTGAGAGCATTTTAACAAATCTGAAGTTGTTGCCAGCTCTAGGCGGGTGCATGGGGCAGCTCGTATCTGCTGTGTTACAGCAGTTATTCCAAATGACACAACCATTGTTGATTTCCCACAATGTGATATTTATTCTTATCGTCCCTGGAGTAATGAATGGAAGGGCCGACCCCCTGTTTAGGATTTGAACCCGCTCTAACAAAGATCCTCCATACAGCCTTAACAGACTGTTGGGGCAAGTTCTGTTAGCAAGCGCCTATGAAGGCCGGTACAGCACACGAGGGGGTGGGCGGCCAACACCACGCCCGGCCGCCTTTGTCTCCCCAGTGGCGATGTTTACATACCGCACCAGGTACTCATTTTAGGCTGAGTCGACCTAGGGGAGGCCCAGGACCGGTTCAAATAATCGTCACCGATGTTGTCCGTGAGCGAGAATCAAACCCGGGTCGCCGGGTTCGCAGTGTAACGCGCTAACCGCTAGCCTACTACCGCTTCCCCAAACACTCACTCACTCACTCACCCGTGCTCAGCTCACCCCTCGGGTATGCCCCGAGTTTAGGTCGCTTCTCGGTCACGGCTAATGTCGGTGGCGAGGGATATCGAACGGGCCCTGGGCATAGCCTCACCTTGACCCAGACCCCTCACTCACCGGCCTGGTGATGCACGGTCAAGGGATTCCTCGTGGCCGACACACGGGCGCGAGGGCAGGCCTTCATCCAGCAGTGGATTGATGAAGGCTCGTTAATGTGGTTCTTTTTTAAATATCTATAATGAGAGTGCCACGCTCCGTAAGTCTTAAACTGATCGCGGACATTGATTAAGCGATTAGCTCGTGGATGGTTTGAACAAAAAAGCCCGCAGGTTGTCGATTCACGTGCAACTGTGGGTGCGGAGTGTCACGTGGAGTCCGCTCCCCGTTCCCCTTTTAACATTCATTCACCCAGAAGAGCCTCACGGAGCCTCGCGACGCTTTGCCCAGCAGAGCCCTCGCTAAGGTTCGCAGTGAGGGAGGTGGGGGCCGTGGGGGAGGGATATTCCCATGCATTTTCCAATTGAGTAAATTTAGTCATTTATGGGTCTTAATTTTTATTTTTACAACTTTGACAAATTTGGACCGCGTAAACGCCGGCTCGCGTGCAGGCCTGTTACATTTCTAATGATATCATGGGAATATATTAACGTCCACTGTAGAAGCAGACAAACGGACGCGCGTGTATATATTGTTACTGTTTTTACACCCGCAGTATTAATGTACTAGGGCGGCCGCTGGGAGCTGAACCGCGAATCTCTGCAACGAACCGCACCGGCACTGCCGCTCGGGACCCGTCACGGAAGCCAACGTTCGTAAGGGCTCACGTGTAACGTCATCGATGTATGGTGAACTTCTTTCGCGCCGTACGTAGCCAGCCGCGCCAATCGGAGGTGCGGGAGGAGGACAAAAAAAACTAAAAACACAAAACGCAGTTCTAAATAAATGAGTTTTTAACCTAGATGATTTAACAGTGCATCACAGCTCCGGTGGCTTCCTAACATCGGAGGGAAGAGCGTTCCAGACGGCCGCAGGATCGTATCTGAAAGTGCCGCGCGATGATGATCCGGTGGCCACCGCCTTTGTCCGATGGCCGAGCCAGAATCCGCCGCTGCTGTGAGGTCGACCGCAGTTGGCGTGATGATAGTTTCTGTTCCTTAACCAGATCAGCGAGGTAACGAGAAATAATGACGTAGGAATAAAAGGAAGTGTTTTTTTTTTAGGCACGTTTTGCAGTTTTAACTTATTGACACGTGGGGGACACGGTGAGTTTCGAAGGGATCGTGACGAGTGGGGTATTGATGTAATGACCTCCTAGCGCTTTGTATCATTGTAAACCCCCTCCGCGTTGTACATATCTAATTGTCTGTATGAACGTTAATAATTATTCATTAATATTGTTAAACAAAAATAAAGTCGTGGCGTAGCGTCGTGTGCATTGGGCAGTCTATAGAAGTGTTCTTAGTTGCAAGCTCCCACGGGCTACCAGCGGGCCCTGGTGACCTTCAGTGCGGCCCCCGATAATACACAAAATAAAGTGACAGCACCCCCCCATCATCATCATCGCCGTCCTCATCATCGTGCTGCTGTCAACCCCAACAATGTTTTTTTCGTGGCGGCCATCGCACCGACGACGTCTTATCGGCGAACGTGGCCCGCTCCTCTGAAGAGTAGTGAAGCACGCTGACTCTTCGAGAGCGACACACACACACATGCGCCATCGCGTAGCCTTACGAAGTAGGTGCTGTGGTAGATGCCGCCGCCGTCGGGGTCCACAACTCTCTTTGCTAAGAAACACCCAACATACGATCATTTGTATTCTTGCCTTAACTGAATGAGCCTGAGCCATACTTAACCGTGTGTACGAGGACATTGACGGAGCCGCCGTGCAGCCGCGCGCGTGTGTTAATGTGCGTTTGTTTTTCCGATCGAGCTTTGCCCGCATTCAATAAACCCTCGTTGCAAAAATAAGTGTGTTATTACCGCGTACTTATCTCACCGCGCTCTGCCCATTATAAGACTCTCTGGAAAGTGAGGCGCACCCAAACAAACGTGTGCCCTTTGCCAGTAAGGTTACGTCTATAAAATAATCATCACCTGAACTCGTGGGGAGCCGCAGTCGCACAATGTTCGCTCGCTCTCGTAGAGAGA